TGTTCATTCATGGATGTGAGCTAATTTTAAGCAGAAAAATATTTATATTTTAGTATTAATCATTTTATAGAGAAAAATTAATGATTGAGAGGGTAAGAAAAACAGGTGGCGGTTAACATGGTAAATCTCTTTTGGGATACTCACATGCATTAGAATTTAATATTTTAAATCATTTTTAGGAAATTGGTGTTTTTAGAAACAACCATACCCCTGTGCGGTTATGTCGTAGTTGGTAGGCATATTTTATTATTTAAATCAAATCTTACTCATATTTAAATAATAATTTGATACTTTAGTTCGTGATACTTTTTGTTCTTATGGTGTAATGGAACTATGTGTTCGGGAGTTAGCACCTCAAATTTCACTTCTGAAAGAGAAAGGTGTTTCACTTTCATGGTAGGTACAGCAGTTTTTCTGGACAGTTACTCGTTGGTTTTTTGGATTTCTTCTTGAATACTATATTCTTTATTAGCCAATTTTCAGTTGTGCTGTTTTTCATAGAGAGAAATGTTTCATCATGTAAGATAGCACATTATTGAATGCTACATGAAATTTCAAGCTTTCATTGTGTTTATATTATAGAAAATTTTTGTTTCAGCGTGCGTACATGTGTTGTAGTTGCCGAGGAGAGGCCACGAGTTGCTTTATGTGCAGCATTTTCTATGCTCTTTGCACCTCTGGGTCTTAATTCACGCGCAGTTTCCACATCATTCGGTTGTCGGGTATTGATTTTTTTCATTTAATTTTTAACTTGAAGTAAAATTTTGATTAAAAGTGGATTAAACTGTATTTAGAGTGTACTTGCTGAAAAATATTTATCTTTTATTACTCTCTCTACATATTTCATTTTGTAATTAATTTAAATTTGCATCAGAATTCCAGACCATTCCTAAATCATCGGAAATTTTGTGATTTGCTAAGCTTGGATATTGCTCTAGTGATGGTGATTGTCGTTTTTGTTAAGTACTAGAATACTTTATCTAATTGGATTGCCTTGCTTTTCTATTTTTTCTTGCAAAATCATTTTCAATTTATAGGTTAACACAGCAATTTGTATGCAAGGAGCAGCAAGTCCAGATCCGGCAACAGTTTATGTTGATGCGCGAGCATTACGTAATGACCGTGTAACACTGGTTGAAAAGGGTGCACCACACAGTATAGCATTAATGGAAAGCGGAAAAGTACATTTTTTTCTACATTTAAAAAATCAAATTTTGCATTGTTAAGATTAAATATACCGGTTGTTTATCCTTTGGGCTACAAAAATTACTAAGATGTGTTGCATTAAAATGAAATGTTTCATTGTAGTTGTTACCTGGTGTGGAAGTGGTCATTGCAAATCCGGAAACTAGAGGTCAATGTGCTGATTCACACTTGGGTGAAATTTGGGTCGCATGTTCACATAATGCAGTTGGTTATTTTACATTGTACGGTGAAGAAGCGTCATTACATACTGATCACTTTAATGCAAGGTAATGTTTGTGACGTTTTGAACTGAACTATAATAATTATGTATGTCGAGTGAATTATTTGCATGATTGGTTCTGTCATCATTTTATTTGTGCCTTGTTATCTTGTTATCAATTAGTTTATTTTGAAAATTTATATATTATTAACATTAGTGCGAATTCTCCTAACTGTATCAGATGAATATTCGACATTAAAGACTGCTTTAGCCGAATAAACCAGTGACTTATTTTATGTTTATTAGGTGACAACAAGTGATATGTTTTATGTCACCTAATTTATATATACTTTATTATTTTGAGTAATATTACTATATTCTTTTATTCTTTTTAGTATTCGAAATTATCTCAACGTTAGTCCAGTTCAGTTAACAGCAAGGGCACTAACTAATAAATAACAAAGATAACCTGAATGTCTAAATTAAACTTGATATGTCAGTGTTAAATGCGGTAACATGCACATAAAAATGGACATAGGTGCATCAGCAGAAATAATGAATGAAATACTTAATCACTGTTTTTTATAGACATTTCTTACGTAATGCGCGCTTTCAATAAACGTTGTACTGACACACATTAATTTTCAGGTTAACAACAGGCGACACTCTTAAACGTTTTGCACGTACGGGTTATTTAGGTTTTCTTCGACGAACACAATCCATAACAGCTGATGGAGGTCAGTTTTTTCTTTCATAATTTTTAATGATTATTCGAAATATCTCTTTCAAAATTTCCAACTTCACTCATCTGTCAACATTGTAGTGAATGAAAACTACGAATCATTATGTTTAAAGACCTGAACGAAAAATGAATTGTCGACTTATGCATTTTTTTTAATCACAGAACTTCAAGTTCCAAAACATTCCGGAAAAATGACTCTAAATGACAATTTTTAAAAAACCTAAATCATTCTCAGATTAGTAATAATGTTCCATTTCTGGAGCTTCCCTCTTGCTTGAATTCTGCCTTTCTTAAATTAGCTCAGTTCCATCAAAAGTCGTGAACTTGCTCCTGGGCGTAGCTGTTTGATTGAGACAGTAAATCATGGTTGCAGAATTACATGATGCAGTGTTTGTCGTTGGTGCATTAAATGAAGCATTGATGTTGCGCGGAATGAGATACCATCCGGTAGATATCGAAGCAACCGTAATACGAGCGCATCGGAAAATTTCTGAATGGTTGGTGCTGTTGTTTAGCAGTTTGAAGATTTAGTAAATTTTTCTTAAATGCTGCTTATTTGAGATTTTAAATGTAATTATATACGGGTTTTTCATTTTCTTGGATGTCAAAGCTGTTTCATGGGGAGTATGTTGACTTGTACAAAATTTTGAAAATTTTTCAGTACTCCAAAATGCATCTTTTTTTTTGCATCATACGTTAGTGCTAGGAGAGTGAAAAAGGGAGGGTTGAAGTAAACCTAAAAATCTCTCCCAGTATTCATACAGTATTTTATATTTTCATGCTGTGGGAGTTTTAAGAAACAAATTAACTTATTATTGTGTGAGTTCGATTCTTGAAATAAAAGGTAACTATGGTTTTTTTGATAATGCCGATGAGGAATGATCCATTTTGTATTAATTGAGAGCTTGTTTCAATTATCTTTCTAAGAATAGTTGCAGATTTTAACATGAACGGATATTTTATCGTCAGAAATTCAGCTTAGTGTGTGGTATTTATAATGAATGAGGAAATTTTCAGTGCCGTATTTACGTGGACACACCTTCTGGTTGTGGTTGCCGAAACGGAAAGTGCGGAATCAGAAGCGTTAGATTTAGTACCAGCTATAACGTCTAATGTGTTGGAAGAGCATCATTTGATTGTGGGTGTTGTGGTAATTGTTGATCCTGGAGTGGTACCTATAAATAGTAGAGGTGAAAAGCAGCGAATGCATTTACGGGATGCTTTCTTAAAAGATATGCTTGATCCCATTTATGTTGCTTACAACATGTAAATTATATGTATGACGATTCAAAATTAAATTTAAACCAAATTAATCAAAAAGTATGAAATTGCCAACAAAATTACACAAGATATGAATAAATATAGATTTATTTATATACTTTTCTCAATTGCTTAATTTCCGATCACATGTTCCTTCTAATTAGTTGTATGCGTCTTTTTTAGGTGAAGTGTGAATAATCAGAGAAATTGCTAAAGTTAAAATTTTTCATGTTTAAACTTGTTAAATAATTATGAGAATGGATATTTTAACGAAAGAAATTTCAGAAATTTTAATAGATCTAGAATTTGAATAAAAATATCATCTTAGGAATAATATAAAATTATATATATTGATTTTGTGAAATAATGTTTATGCAGTTTTGCTTTGCTCATTTACCAGTGTATTGCTAAAGAGTTGTAAGATAAGAATATTGTGAATATTGTCTCACGCATTATCAGTTTGCATTACAAAATTTCTTTCTCTTCAATGGTCCCGAATTTTAGAATTATTCTTCAGCAATTCTACAATCTGAAAAAAGGTTCCTTTTTATTTTTTATTTACATAAATTTTATTACTGCTTCTAATTACTGTTAATATTGAAAACTTCATTGTATGTTTAGGATGAGGAAAAGCAAAAAATTCAATATTGGTATAAGTTACAAAATATTGAAATTTCCAACTTAATAATAACTTAATCCGAAACAACTCATTTAAAAATAGTGAAGTTGTTAAGCAGAAGAATAGCTTGAACGATTTTAAAATGAATGGAAACAAAGAATTATTTCAACTTTTAGCATTATTTTTGGGTAGCTTGTTTGTGAAATGTTGTTCAAAAAATGAGTTAAAATAAATAGAAGTATTTTGGAATGAACGGTAAATGTCAACAATTAATTATTTTATCTGAAAATTCCAAAAAGTAACTCTGAATTGGATTTATTCATTTCTACTTCAAAATTAACGCCAAAATTGTTGCAAGAAACAGAAAAACAAAATTTTTTTATTTTGACTGTTTTTTATCCTCTGTTTATGTTTTCTGTTGTTATATTATCATTCTGTACCTAACTTGCATTTTGATAATTATATATCATTTATCAACTAAATATTTCAGTGCGGCATGTGATAACATCCCATCCTTGTTAGTTTTATCATAGCAGGTGGACACATCTCTCGATGTATCAGTGATAGATAGATGATATTCAATTTCGTTTGATTTACATTCGGACGAATTTTTTAGATGACTCGTGATGTGGTTTTAGTAATTTTTCGATTTTTCTAATTATGATTCTTACAATTCCTACGATTACAATATAATGTTTTGTTTAATTTTTCACTTACCAATAACAGTTTCAAAAACTCCAAATTATTTTCTAATAGGTAAACAATACCTTAAATGGGCATTATTATTTCTATTTTGGTACCGAATGTCTTAAATTTCTGATGTGGACAATCATTTAGTTTTATGTTAATTAAATTCTTACTAAAGTTTTTTTTTCTATCAGTGTTTTTGTTCTGTAATTTTTAGTTTTTACTTTTGATTAGAAAAAAAAAAATAAAATCCATGCATGCGCTCAATTTTGCTGTGTTGTTGTTGTTTGCTGTATTTGACACGCCCATTTCATTGTGCATTTTTTCTTTCCTATGCCACATTTGTTTATCAGTTT